TAATTCTCCGCACTGAAAAGGTAAGTTATCAATTCTAAAACATTGTGTAAAGATCCAACTAACATTTTTGTTGATTAGCTACACTACAGCGGAATTGACAATATGTTGGGCTGTGCTCGTCTCTTGAGGGACTCCATCGCCTTTGCCTTCGGTGGCGACTGCAGATTTCCTGCGAGACTTAGTACGTGTTCTGCTGCTTTCTGTAGAAAGCTCCTGGAGAATTTCCTGCGTAAGTTTGCGCCGCGACCTCGGGAACCGCCGCACCGCTGAGTATTTTTGCCACAATGGCAGTCTTGGTGTCAGTAGAGTAAGTGTGGCGAGTCTTAGACATGGCTTGGGTCGGACACATAAAAAGTGAAGCGTTTGTTTTCTTCTTGCAAATGTTTGAGCGGAGTGGATGGCGCTCAACAACCTCATTGGGTTGGAGGAGCTGACTAAAAATATGGCGCCAAGAGTTCACCCCTTTTGCATATTAAAATTTTAAAGGTATTCGTACTTAGCTTATTATAACCAATAGTTTACAAGTTCAATGGAGTACTGTATATGATTGGCAGTAAATTATGCGGCCCTAAACTGGTTCGCGGCCCTAAATTGATGATTTCCCTTAGTGTAGACTGCGTGTTTGACGTATTTATCATGAGATGTACATGTATTTGCCAATGTGAAATTTGGAATGATATTCAGAAAGTGGACTACCAGTATACGGCTGCTGCAAACAATGTAGCGGTGTGCGTTCATGTGCTCGGTACCGTCCGTGGGAATACCATCGCTATGGACTTTATCAAGTCTTAGCATAACAGTCAATCTAAGAATGTTACAGTGGAGTGCGTGTTGAATACACTGTTAGCATACGATTCTGCAATCATCACGGCAAGCGAGCTATTAATACTCCGTCACGGAGACTGTGCTCCTTTAAGAGAAAGGTCCCACCCAAATAGACTTTGCACGCGAATGTAAAAAGTTTATGGAACCCATTGGCTGCCAAAGGTCAAAGGGATACCCCTTGCTAAGGAAAAATGTCCCATCCACATAGACTTGCATGCGAGTTACACTAAAGATGGTCTCAGAAATCGAGCTACACAAACACAAAAGCTGGTCGCTTGCAGCAACTTTCGAGAAGTCCAGTTTATGGCGAGTGGCAAATCAAAAGAATGATTGGTTGCCCCACACACGCTGCTATGCAAACGTAAATATTTGTGGTGGCTACTTCAGTATTGTAGTAGTTTCAATTGCTGCATCGTACTAACAGCGTTGGCTTATCAGCGGAGACTGTACAATCAACGACTGCGTGATATATCTACTGAATTGGCTGACATGTTAGAACAAGTTTTACCGAAAAGCTACGACAGCTGAGGACAGCGTGAAAAAATTCTTACTTACTACTTCGAAGTATTAAATAAGAACGACGATTTATTGAGATGTAAATTTATTTAAAGATATTTTCGTTATTAAGAGGGGCTCTGGATATAATAATTGGTCCCTACTCCGGATTTACCAGATCAAATTGTAGTACACTACTTGTTCTCCAGAATTCTTACTACAGCATTACGATTTGAAATGAATCCCAGTTGGGGCCGAAGAATAGATTTGCGCGACGTGGTTTTTAACATATTATAAATAAAAACGCTTTTAAATAAAGAGAAGATCAAGCGCAATATCTTACCAATAAACAATATATACCGATACATCCACTTAGTTTTAAGAAGTACGATGGTCCGTACCCGGCCACCGCAAACCATCCTACTCGTCAGAGTCACTCACGACGTCTTTTATTTCATCGACAACATATTATTTTAAAACAGTTGTATGCCACTAAACATGTGCTATTCCTGCCTCAACACTTACAAATCCTGAGACAATCGGTGCTCGGTGATGAGATCAATTTAATAAAATGCAGACAATTCAACCCCTTATGTAAAGGGGCTGGCTTTTAGATACAGTATAGGCTTTCCTGTACTGTATCTAAAACTCTTAATGTAGACAATCCAACCCTTTACTTTATCTAAGACTCTTAGATACAGTGCTCGTCTGTAACCCGGAGCCCCCCCCTCTTAGAAAGATGGGGATCAGTCTCCGGGTTACAGATGAGCCCTTCGGTATTAACAGTAAAAATTTTTAGGGATTAGTACCCTAGTCTTAAATACCCTCGGACAGGAATAAAATATATGTTAAGCAGTTTACTTGTCAAAGCTTCTCGTTGATGTAATATGCGATACAAAACTACCAAAAATGACTGTTTTGAGGCACTTAACCAAAGCCCGCTCTACAGTTTTCCTACGAAATTTTCTCGAATTGCCACAGAATAAAGGAAGCAACCGTCTGCATTGCATGCATGTACATGCCATTGTCATCCGTGTTTTTCCTTCTTTTTGCCGGACATGCACTTTCTGGCGAGGGCTCACGTGGAGAACAACAACCCGACCTCGTCCATGTTAGAAATGTTTCGAAGCTCGTATTCCTTTAGCTTATGCTGGAAATCGCTGATCGAGGCATCCATGACTGGCCCATCCTTACCATAGGCCTTAATGCTACCGAATCCGCGCCCAAGGTTGAAGGTTCAGTATGTAAAGGTTGAGTACAGTATTTAAAGACGCATTTTTATGCTGTGACTTGACGGTTAGCTGAGAAGTTGCCTGGCTGTTCCTTGAGATGGCTGCTGCAACAGAGACAAGATTGCATGAGCTCACTAGGCTAGCTCTTCTTGTTATAGGTAGGGGCGGATGGCATGATCCTGGCAATTCTGCTATGTTATGATCGCATTGATGAGCGTGATGCGGGTTGGCTTGTTAATAGATTTGACTGACCTCTAGGTGGCACTAGCTCAATTGGAGAGAGTGGGGCAAATAAATCGTTGGTTTGTATGTGTATCATTTATATGGTACCACACTTGGCTAGCAATAAACTGTTACGGCTGTACGCTTACATTTTATACAGTAACCTGCTCAATTTCAAAATTTGAAATTGAGCAGGTTACTGTTCATAAGTATCATTTAGTTTTGGGTTGACAACCCATTTAATGAAAGCCACCTCTAGATAGCCCTTTTTTACATCCAAAACAAATAGCCCTTGTAGTAATTTTGGTAAGACAAGATTATTAATAGATTTGCTAAATTTACCAGTGAATTTTCGATAAGTCGAGTTTATGAAACCGTGCTCCTGTCAGAATACACTTTTGAAACTGCAAACTTAGGCACAAATGCTGTATTTCGTTCAGCATCCGCAACTCGAACCGAACGAAGATGGATTTAAAAAAAATACAAAACATTTAGACATTTAGACAAAAAAATCTTATCCAAATATTAGGGTCATGTCTTTGTTTACGGGCTCTCCAGGTTCATATTTATCTCTCCTCTTCTGTTTCTATTAATAACAGGGAGAGTCGAACATAAAACAAATCGATATAAATAAGCTGATGTCTTTGTTTACGGGCTCTCCAGGTTCAAATTTACCTCTTCCGTTCTATTTTCTAATAGGGAGAGTCGAACATTAAAACTAATCGATATAAATAAGCATTTTATGCATGTTGGGTAGTATAATTGTATAATCGGTTAGCCAGTCGGGCAAAATTCTCACTTCCTTGTTATCAATATACCGGTAAAGATCTTTACAAATCCAATGAATTAAAAATTCTCCTAGTAATATTCTCCTAGGAATTTTAAATTTTTAGGAGGTAGGGCAAAAATCAGTGCTTACCTTTAAAGCTATTGCGTAAATTTGTAAGGTTGGTGTTTGTTTCCTAAGTTGCCGCGTAATAGTAGCTCAATACGAAGTTGACATAGTCATATGTACTACGTAGTACATGTACTACGTACTCCAAGTAGTAGTTTTGCTAGACGAAGTAGGTGCAATAGAAAAAGTGTTGCTGCTTCTAAGGATTTCGTCTTGCCCTCACAGGCTAGCGACATACTACGTAGTACATAGTAGTAGCATGCTTAATTGTCACTGACACTGGTAATGACGCTAATGTCGGCAACATGCATGACATGGCATAGCAAACCAGCGTGGTGTTTACAGCGGATGGCCAAGCAAACAAATTCCCTAGAGAACGCATTGTTGTTCTTAAAGTGCAAACCACCCAGTTGGACACAATAACTACTGAAAATAGAGATGAAACATGACCACATATTGACATGGCGGTCACTTCTTCCTTACATATAATAAACTACTTCAGTAGAGAAGTTAAAGGCTCTCCCCGTGAACACGCCGGCTTTTTAGAAAGTTCTAAATTTAAACTCACGATAAAGGACCTAATTCACAACCTTTATGACCGATGGATCCACCGCGACCTGTGATAGAGGGTTTGCGTTGGTAAACAGTCTTTGTATGGGTATGTTTTTCCCGCTAATACTTATAGAAAGTTGTGCTCTTCCACGGGATGCACGAAATCGAGTGAAAAACGGGCGTGCATTCTCGATAAGTTGAGTACCAGGTAGAGCATGCAGACAGCTGGTTTAATGAAAAAGAGGTAATTTTAATTTCTAAATTTAGAACTTTCTAAAAAGCGGGCGTGTGATCGGGGAGAGCCGCCAGTGTTAAAATTTGAGCAACCTTATCAAAAACGATCGGACGACATTAAGGTTGCTGTAATTAATGAGTTGGCAACTCGCGAGGAGTGCTAAGAAACAGGTTAAAATTAGTAGGATTACGGGGAAAGACACGTAAACGGATGACGGCTTAAATGGGCATGTGCGAGCTATTCCAATGGAATTTTCATGTTAAGAACAGAAGCGAAACGCGAATCGAAGAGCTTGGAAGCGAACGGAGTCTCACAGAAGTACATGTAGCAGAAACTTTAATACTGCGGGCCATTAGAGTATGCCGGAATAGAGTTTTGAAAAAATGTCGACTTCGGTGGACCGTTAATTTTGTGCACTATTACGGATCTCGATACCGAAATCTTTTACAGAAGTCACGTACATGTACTGTACGGCACGACGTGCATTTACTGTCAAACCACAAATTCACAACTGCTTGGCAGACCGACACGATCGAAACAAGTTATGCGCGTGTACTTCGCCCTTCTGGCCGTATTCGCGAGTGCCTTGGTGATTGAATCGGACGGTAAGGCGATCACCAGCATCCAGTTGAAGAGAACCGAGAAGCGGCTCCTAAGAAGGTACGGTATGGGTGACACGGACATTACGGAAAATACTAAGGACGAAGAGCGTGCGGGTAATGTTAGTCCGAGCTTCTTCCAAAGACTCAACAACGCGGACGAGATCGTGGGTGCTTTAAAGAACCAAGATAATTTGATCGCACAGTTGGCGAAAGATGAAGAAACAGCGAAGGCCATCGTTCTCAAGCTATCGGCAAACGGGAAGATAATGGAAAACATGCCGCTCATCCTACAAATTAACAAGGCCAGAACATCGGTTAGTTATAACCAAAAGCTGACGAATTGGCTTGACACGAAGACTTTGGACGATATTCAATCGGCAATGAAAGATTCGGACATGAATCTTGCGACGCGTCGATTCACGGAATGGTACAGCATCGGGGAAACCCCAGATGAATTCAGTGCGGCAATCGCGCTAGTAAAAAATGAAAACAAGCGAAAGGGATTCGCCGCGCTAGAGTTTCACTACAAAATGTTCGTCCAAATGAGCGATAAAAAAGCTGCTGATGCTGCCACCAAAAAGGCAGCAGAGGCGGCGGCTGCTGCTTAGAACAACCCGTTCAGTGAGTCGTCCAGCAAAGGGATCTGGCGCGTATTACGCACATATCAACTTCGATAACTTTTAAGAATGCTTTCTCTCGACATGTTCAGACTTGCATACACACTATAGGTCTCACAATAACCCCAATTACTGCAGATATCCCGAAGGATATTCTCCTAGTAAAACGGCAAGACTCGTTCTTCGTTCTCTCCATCTTTTTTTTGTCCTCTGCATCTACTCCAAGACGGCTGATATTTTACTCATCTGTTCGTAAGATGTAATGCGACAATGAACCATAATATACAATTGCCTAACTTGACCCCCCTCCCCTTGCATCGCCGTGGAACGAGGCCCAGACATGCGGTCATTAAACCGTCCTAGACCTTATTGCGATTGATTTGGTGATTGGATGTGAAGCCAAGTCAACGGCGGACATCCAGAGACTGGAGAAGCACTTCGTCCGTATCGATAATTTGGGCGCGACCATCAACGCTGCCAAAGAAGAGCAAAAATGATTATTACCACCGCTAGTCTCAAAGCCTACGACAATCAGTATGCTTATATCACAAAGTGGTTTAAGGACGAGGAAACGACGAAGGCTGGCGCTGACGATAGTGGCATTGGAATGTAATCGAGGGCATGCCGATCCTCACCAAATTTAGCGATGTGAGGACGTATGAGGTCTCCAACCAATTAAGAATTTGGCCCTTAACGAGATATCTGCACTGCAGATTCTGCAGTATCACAAGCCTTAAAGAGAAAAACAATAGTGCTAGTGGTGTAAGAATAGAGTAACACCCGTCAATGTTACATCGGTGCTGAACTCGATTTTCAACAGAAATACGGCGCACTCAAGGCCTTTGGAATGGGATCGTTAAAATAAGACGATAAAAGGCTTCTGCGGATATCTAGGCTCTTCTTGATCCATTAAACAGGATAAACGATTTGTACCCTCAGCAATGCCTCCGCTGGCAGTGCTTTTCGAGCTTTGATAGGTAGAATTTAATTTATGAAAAGTCTTTTCGGTGTCTTTATCAACTATCAATCGCCTTATCAATGATACATGGGACGCACTACTGGACAACGTGTGCCTGGATTCACAGGATGCATTTGTGAGGATAAGCATGCTTTCCTCGAATACAATTACTTAAATAAATCTATCTGGCCCACAGAAGCTGTGTCGGCAGCACAACCTGCTTTTCTTGGTCCATTTTGCAACTGTTTCTGTTTTTCTTTTGTTGCCAAATTTGTTGAGAACACCCACCTAGTTGATGAAGAATGGTCAGGCGACTACTTCAGAATAGCGGGGGCGAGTAGTTGTCAGCACGCGAAAGTATTGCCCAGTGACCGAATTTGCACAACACACCTCAGGAATTCTCGGTAGCAGTGTGCAATTCTTCAAAATATAGGTAAAATGTTTATATAGTGCAACAGAAAGTAAGACAACAAAGAAGACCCCTTTCACCAGATCATTTTTTATGGCTGGTGTCTACCGACTGCTAGTTTCTTTTTCTCAAAACTGCCGGTACAGCGTACAATACGCGACTTTTTGCTAAACTTATTATTTTTCTGTGTGTGAGACAATGCCCGAGCTTAAATGCGTCTGAACAAGACACCCAATTACATGAAACGAACAAAACAACAGCAAGGACCAAGAATATGTTCGTCAATTACTCACAAATTCATCATACTCATCCATAGAGAAATACGTTTTTGCAGCTAGAAAACAACTTTTTTTTGCCGGTGACCCAGGTTACATCACGCTACACAGTACCGTGGATTTAATCCGGTGTGGGCGATCCATACCTCTATGAGGCATTCCCAGTATAAAGCTGTAGTCTCACAAATGTACGTAGGACCCATGCGTGTACTGAAAATCGCTAGCTATATCCGCTCAAACGCAGAAAATCACAGCGCGGCGAAAGTATATAGCAAAGAATTATCATTGGAAACGACGGCCTCTGCTGTAAGAAACGCGTCGCAAGTACCAGCACGATCCGTCGGCACCTTTCTCCATTAGCAGTCTGAGCGCTGGGTAAAAAGAAAGCGCTCAAGAAAGTGCTTTAGCCTAATAATATGCAGAATTGTCTTTCTGATGAACGCACTCAGAATTCGTCTTGTTCGCTTAAGATTATTATAATCCGCAGTGCGTGAAGTATTGCTTCTTCCAAATCATCTGGCTGCAGTCTCCTGGAGTCTCCTGCAACATGCGTATACACGTTCATCCAAATACTCCCGTATGAATTTAGCTGCTTCCACAGACCTAGTAGTATCTTCGAATTTACTCGAAAGTGCTATTATGCCGGACTCGTCGAGCAGATCTCTTAAGCACAAAACAGCAGCAGCACCACACAAATAGCCAGGTGAGCGTGTCCAATGTACCCCTATTCATTACTTACTGGAGATGTCGTCATGTCAAGAATTCGTTGCGTGCACTGGTACCTTACCTCAGATGCCGGCTCTGTCGCCATCAGTGATTCCTTTGATGGTGCTTCCAAACTCCATAATAGAGCTTGTTAAAATAGAAACACGTTTAAAACTCAACTTGTTCAATTTTTTAAACACCAAGTCGAGCTCAGCGACAAATTCCTAACGCATTGGAGATGACGAAACTCTTTTGAATTGCCATTTACTGTTATATTGCGTGTTATGGCAGCTCCTTTAAATATCGTGCTTCATATATACTGTACCACTCCGTTCCAGAGAGAAAGCTAAAGTCAACTTTCAAAATCTAAGCAGCAAAGTTTGATTTGATTAATGCTTCATTTTAGCACCGATTCCGTGCAAGAAGGGGACTCCTCGCTCACCCCCTCCCATACAAAACTAGGTATAGCTGTAGCCATCTGTGACGGGGTCACACAGCACCTTGCGCTAGAGGAAGTTATCTTCCGAGAGTATACAAACTCTCAGTGAACGGCAGTTCACAGGTCCCCTCTTTAGTTAAAGAGAGCGAAGTGACCTAAATAAGGTAGATTGTAAACTGAGTATATTTATAGGTAGGTTAAGTTTGAGGTTAATACAAACTATCAGTTACCTATAGAAATGCAATGTCATTTAACCAATGGTTGGTTTTGAATGACCTTGGTACCTTGTACCAAATATCCCAAAGTATGACATGTCATACTCCTGAAGTGTGAAGTGTCACACTTCATGTAACCAGGGTACACTTAGTGCTACGTACCCCGTTACATCCTCCCCCACTTAGGTTCGGTTTACCGACCAATCAGAATGACGAGATGTTCGTCACAAACTCTCATTCTCAAAGTCGAAAACCATCGACTCGGCCGCGCGAGCGCGGCGGAGGCTCACTTTACAGTTAGAGCCTCGAGCAGCAACCTGTGCGCTCTTCGTCAAGGTCTCCACTTCGATCGTTAACATGCCTCGTGGCACTGCTAAGAGCGGTGCTAAGACACGCTCCAAGGCTGCAGCCGGTAAGGCGCAGGCCAAGAGCACTAAGCCTCACGGCAAAGGCTCTGCACTTAAGGAGGCTACTCAGGTGGCCTCCGAGGCGATCGGATCCTCGGGTGACGCGGCTGCGGACAAGCGCGCAAGCAGGCGCCGCAGTCCGTCGCCCTCGTCTTCAGACAATCGTCCGAACCCTCGGTTCGTAGAACGTGAGTTCAACTCGGGCAGTGAGGACGATGCCGAGTCCGAGAGCACTCATGATGCTCCTGCGGGCTCTGTGGGAGGGCACAGCCCAGTGCCCAGTGAGCACAAAGAAGACAGCGTGCAGTCGTCCGCTAATGATCACGGTGATCACAGTCCCAGGACCTCTGTGCGCTCTGAGAGTCCGGCCGTTAAGGCTAAGGGCACTCCCAAAGCCGGTGGCGATGAGGAAGGGAGTCCTCGCAAACGTCTCTCGCTTGCCGAGGGTCTTGCGCGCGCTAAGGCCTCTAAAGCCGAAGGCGCCAAGCCCTCAAAGAAGCGTACCGCCTCTAAGTCTCCACTCCGCGAGGAGAAGGAGACTCGACGCTCCTATCAGAGTCTCTTCGGCTCCTCGGATAAAGAGGAGGAGAAGGAGGAAGAAGAGGAAGAGGAGGGTGCCATTGCTGATCCCCGGGAGGTCTCGAATGACCTCGACCAGCAGCAGGAGGATTTCCAAGCTGCCCAGCGTGTGCGTGGGGGTTCGGTGGCGGCACCCGTCAGCCAGGGAGCTGCCATCAACTCAAGAGGGTATTGGCCTCCCGAGGAGAGCTCTGGGGCTGACCTCTTCTTAGAGCTTCTCGTCGCTCCTCGTGGCCTTGTGGGCGGCCACACTTCTAGGGGCATCTATGAACGAGCCCTTGTTCAGAAAGAACGGTTGTTCGTCGACAACGTGGAGGCTGCTCGGTGTGTGCTTCTCGCGCCACACCGCATTCCCCTTAAGGACTTCACGACTTGTCGTAAGAAGCCCGAGACCCGGGGTGGTCTCTATCCTGTTTGGGGATACCCCTGGGTTATGCCCGAGAACTGTCCCACATGGAGTTCTTGTGAGGACATGTTCTGGGCGTGGGTGGAGACTCTCAAGTACTCGCCCACGGAGTTATGGGAACTCCATGAAGATCAGCAGCTGTCCCACATCCTGGACCAGCGTGATCTTCGTGTGAGGTTTGCCCACTTGATCAGCAAGCGTATGCTGCCAAGGGACATCCTGAAGCGCGCGGCTTCTAGCGCTCACGATGAGCGCGGGTACGGTATGTATTCATCATCCGTACCCCGTTCGGGCAAGAAGCCCCGGACTACTTATGAAGCTGCCGCCGCTTCTGCTCCCAGATTGCGACAGCCTTCGGGCAGTCAATCAGGAGCCGTTCAATCGGCTCCCACGAGTTCTCGGAGCGGACATAACCCTTCCACTTCACGAGGAGCTGTCGCTTACCGCGACGCCGTTGCTCCTGGAGGATCCGCTCCACGTGGAAGTGGACTTCTCCATTCCGGTCAAGCAGGGGCGGAGGTGCCCTCGTATGAGTACGAGTACTCGGCGCCTCCCGAGAGCCACTCTCGTCCGAGTGCTCCGACTGCGGGTCCGACAC